TTTGGAAATCAAGTTCTAAGTAAATTTTTTGACGTCTGTAAAGTTAGCATACACTTTTCGTAGCTTTTTTGTTGTAAATTTGTTGTGGAAAGAAAACATTTGTAGCTCTCATTTTTTTTAATACGGTATGTAGTGCTAACTTGACACCATACACCTACTTAGCCGATGGAATTAAGATATTGAAAATAGTATAACAGCATTTATTGTAGCTTTTTTGTTGTAAATTTGTTTATTTAACGTGTTTTTTATAAAAGTCTAGTACATTACATAACCAGCACCACAAAAACGTATAAAAATTGTAAAAATTAAACAAACTTTGAAAATTACACCCAAAACTTTTAAACTTTTTATCCAGAATTTTTAGGTATACAGTTTTATAGCCTATTAAATTTAAGTAGGTAAAAGTGAATATTTCAAGACGCTAGGAAATCGCGTTGACTTTTAATAATTTTTTTGGCTGACAACAATTTTTGGTGTACAGTAGTATAATAACCCAGAAGATAATTTAAGGGAGGCCTTCTTAAGTAGAGCCATTCTAAGCGGCCTACCCAAGAAGGGCTAAAAAAAAGTGCCTGTTTGCATGCCTTCTAGAAGGGCTTATCCATTTACAATTTACGCGTATGCATAAATTTATATTATTTAGCATTACAAATGAATTTCAATAAACATATTAGTTTTAAAATAAAACATTTTTGATATAAAACTTAAGCAAATACTTCAAAGATGTATGATTTTAATAAATTTAAGAAGCTACTTAAAAAGAACTCCCCCAAAAGGCCTTCTGAAGTACGTACTATAAAAGCCCTTTTGGAAGGCCTTCAATTTGTGTCACTCCATACAAAAAAAGAAAGGAGAAAGGAATGTCGAGTGGAAGGCCTCTTGACTCCCAGGAAGGCCTTTCGGAAGGGCTTTTATCTCCTAAAATTATCTACTGGGAAAGTCTAACAGCCCGTTTCACCAGCAATTTAAATGGAAAATGATTTTTTTATTTTCCATATAAATTTCAAAAAATTATATTTTTATTTGAATTCAATATGGAAAGTAGGGATGCATCGATGTTTTCAAAACATTACTTATACAACATCTTGAAGTATGGCAGAAAATTTTTTGTTTACATTTTTGTGAAAATATGTCCTTTGAATCCATTTACATTTTATCATCAACATTATACCATTAAAAAAATATAAAATATAAATAATTTACTACATAATTTACATTAAATCATTAGTTAATCTATGGAAAAATAAATAATTGCGCTTGGTGCAAACGAATTTGATAATTATGCGGTATAATAGACGAAAAAGTAAAATAAATACTACAAAGTAAATAAAAGAGTGTAAAGTAAATATGTACATACATATAAAAAATTAATATAAACAATGCGGTGTCGCAAGTTCGCGAAGCTAACGAACGGAATTTAGTAGCAAAAAATTTGTTATCTTTCTATGATGAGCAATGCATCGACTGATTTTTTGCCTTGAATTGTTTTTACTTGTATTTGTGTTTTTCATGGCAACTCGTTAAATATAATTTTCTCTTTCTGAGTTTGTGATTAAATTCTCAAATGCCTTTGGGTACACACCCTAAAGGTTTGGGGGCAAAAGGTGTACCTACTATAACCTGTTTTTTTCAATCATTGCCGTAAACTTCAATTAAAAATAGCCTCAGAAAATGTACTGTTTTCGAAGAGTTTGGACCAAGCTGAAATGTGAGTCATTTTTGTGGATTTTAAGGACTAGTGAAAATATGCATGGTATAAAAATGGTTGAAAAGAAGAATTAGAAGAAAAAAATTAGAAAAAAGTAACGCTGTCCGAGGACTCGGACTCGAACTCGGCTTTACTCACTCGGCCATTGCGACTGATACCTCTCTGAACTTGGCAGGACAACTTTTTCTCAAAGCAAAAATTCCTATCGCATAATTTGCCGTTAATTCCTTCCGTGGAAGTTAGCAGGGCACTCGATATTTTTTAAAATGTGTCAGCCGCAAGATAATTCTTTTCACGGATAAAAAACGGATAATTTACGGCCAATTATCAGATA